CCATAAGACTACCAAAGACGCATGGTACACGAGGCTGCAACACAACACAACTCTTATCCTGCGACCAACAAACCCACAGGTCATGCTTATAGTCCTTGATATTCAGCCTTCTAATCTACTGATTCACCGGGGTAGGCACAGCGTCCACAGCTACGCAGCTCCGTGGCCGACATTACAAAATACCTGAAAGACAATAACTACACATAGGACCACTCGGCCCGAAAGCCATCTCGGACCCGTCGGGGCGGTTGGCAATCTGCGAGATCCGGTCTAGATACACAGCCGCCCCGGCTGATGCACGCGCTGGTTAGTGGTGCCGAGATCTGGGCCATTTCGCTGTCTCTGAGCACCTCCTCTGACCGGAAGAACCGCTAGCTAGTGGTGCGGAGACGTGGGCCACTCCACCGACTCCTCGCCGTTGCCGCCGCCGCCCGTACGCTCTGGCCGATGTACCCGCTGGTTTGTCGCGCGGAGATCAGGGCTGCTCGCCACCTCCTCTTACACCTAGGCCGTTGGCACGGCGCTGCCTCCTCTGCCGCCAACAGCTTATCTGGACAATGTCTCTCTCTCTGGTAGTGAAGCGGCTCCCACAGCCTGCTCCGCGGCCGAAGCCGGGCGCCGGCGCCGGCCGGCCGGACCTGAGCCGAGAGATCGCGCCGCCCCCGCCCCGAGGACGGGCCGACCGGCGCCGCGCCCGCGACCCAGGCGGCCCCATGCTGCGGCCGTGACGCACCCGGCCGGCGCGCGGACCCACGCCGGGACCGACCGGAACGGGCCGCTCCACAGCCCCGGCTGGCCCGCCGCCCCGCCGCCGCCGCCGCCGTGTGAAAGACCTGACGTATTGCGACGCGCTTCGCTCACTTGCGCGGTGAGTAGCGCGGGTTGTCGGGCATGTGCACGAACGAGCGCATCTCGTGCGCGGCGCCGGCGCCCGTGTGCAGCGCCGCCGCGTCCATGTCCGACTTGCGGAAGATGATCATGCGCAGGTCGGTGTGCACGTACACGCGGCCAGAGCGGCCGGTGGCGAACCTGCCGCGGGCGGCGCCACGTCAGACCAGCGCCGCGTCAGGCACGCGGCACGGCTACACCAGGCATCAATTCGTGACAGCGCGGGACAGGACAGGGCTGGCGCATCATACTGATTACGTGGAAATAATCGTATCAACGCAGCACGTAGCAAAAGGTCACTATGCATCTAAAATTTCGTGAAAAGAGGAGAACAGATGCTTCGACTACATACTTATTCAACCAGCAACGATATAACGAGCATATTGTCGGACTTAGTGCTCGGTAAAACAGCCGCTGTCCTCCCTCCAAACCACACTTGCCAGTCTGCACCGGCCATCCCATGGGGCCGAGATTAGAAGTTCACACGAGATACCATACTGAATCAGTCCCGCCACCCCTGATGAGCAGCACCACCGCACCCCTGACGAGCAGCAACGCTACCTCTGATGAGCAGCACCACTGCCCCTGAAAAGCAGCGACGCTACCCCTGATGAGCAGCACCGCTGCCCCCTGAAAAGCAGCGACGCTACCCCTGATGAGCAGCACCACTGCCCCTGAAAAGCAGCGACGCTACCCCTGATGAGCAGCACCACTGCCCCTGAAAAGCAGCGACGCTACCCCTGATGAGCAGCACCACTGCCCCTGAAAAGCAGCGACGCTACCCCCTGATGAGCAGCACCACTGCCCCCTGAAAAGCAGCGACGCTACCCCTGATGAGCAGCACCACTGCCCCTGAAAAGCAGCGACGCTACCCCTGATGAGCAGCACCGCTGCCCTTGACGAACAGCACCACCGCCCTTGATGAACAGCACCAGCGCCCCTAACAAGCCGTACTGCCGCCCCTGGATAGCGGCGACGCCACCACTGATGAAGCAGCGTCGCCACTCCTGCATGTTTAGCAAGGCCTAGCCGCCATCCCGGCCAGCCGAGGCAACAGCGCCACCTGTAGTTCACGCCACCCTCGCCAACCTTAGGTGAGCGACGCAGCAGCGCCAGCTATGGCCCGTCCCGACCACCAGCTAAAGGAGACGAAAGCACCCCCAAAAACCCGCCCGCCCCCCGGCTGAACACGACCGCAGCGCCCCCTATAACCTATCCCACCCCAGCTGGAGGAGACAGCAGCGCCACCTACAATCCGTCCCACCCGCTGTACGAAGCAGCAGCGCCACCCGCAGAGCACCACCCCTCGCCTACCGCAGGTGGATGAGGTAGCGGAGCCACTTCTGCGAGTCCGGATTCTCGGGCGACTCGCCGACGGGCATGTAGAGGGTGCGCTGACGCAGGAAGGTCTGGCTGCCCGGCGGCATCGCGCTCAGGTCATAAATCACCACGAACATCTTGACCACGGTGCCGTGCGGGTTGAACAGCGTCACCTGCAGCGTTCCCTTCTTCGGCACGTGGTAGCCCTTGCGGCCCAGGTTCACGAGGCCCTGCAGCACGAGGCAGGGGGAGGGGCGCTCAAATACAATAATACCAGCTACGCTGCGACGCGGAGGAAGCGTGCAGGTCTGAATGACTGGCTCCCGCTTGATGGCATGTCAGCTGATGGGAAGCATTAGTGGTCTGGGCATACGAGAACGGCAACGGCTTAAGTCGAGGACCATCCCACGGGACAGCATCCAAGCGACCACCTCATCCACTTCTCACGCAATACAGCACGCAGCCAGGACCACGATATGGACGACCACACGCATGGAACAGCTGCACGACTTGTCATGCCCACCATACGGACCGTTTACCGATTTTAGTTTAGGCACATATCGTTAAAATTTGGGCCGTGTCTCCAATCCATGCAACCTGCAGCCACATCTAGAAGACTGGAGCCCGCACGGCCCTGTCTGACAACCCGCTGTCATTTTGCCGCCAGAATCCGCAGCGCGTTCCACCTCGGCTGGCGACGGCCACTCACCATGTATGGCGAGGCGATCTTCTCATTGTCGCAGAGCGAGTAGAAGAACACGGTGACGGGCAGGCGGACGTGCTTGGGGTGGAAGGAGCCGCTGGCGCCGATGTCGGCCGAGAAGCCTTCGACCGTGCTGACCGGGCCGAGCCGGCCGTTCAGCACCGACTCCTCGAAGCTGCCCAGCAGGGAGGAGACGACGCCGGCCGGGCAGCTGGCCGACAGCGGCCGCCGCTCGGGCTCGGCCGACTCAGACTCGGCGTCGGCAGTCAGCTCGTTCAGCGCCGAGCTGAATGTCTTCACCTGCCGAGGCGGGGAAGAGCCGTGAGGCGCGGCCACGTGTGCGGACGGGACGACAGCCGCGACTGACGGCGAGGTGACGCAGCGGCGGGGAGCGGCACCAGCTGCGTACAGACCCGGCGCTCAGATGGGAAGACTGATCGAATGCACACGCACTGCTGCGTTAATTCCGCGACGCAGATGCAGAGCATGAGCTTCTGAACGCACAGTAGGCAGCAAGACACGCCACCTTTCGTAATTATCCGCACCACTGAAAACAGACGCGACTTGCAGCAATAACTAAATGGTATGATGACGAATAGGATGGCGTTTAAAGATGGCTGTGGGATCGCGCCCACCCTAGCAGCACTTTTGGCAGGAATAGCAAAGGCAGATCGAACGGTTATGCAGATGCCATACATCATGATACGGCCCGACCAACGCAAACCGGAGTGTCTGGTCATGTCGCCACTGATTTCCTCTGGCGATCCACATACTTCAAACACAAAAAGCGCAGCTTCTCATACCCAGCCCCAGGCCTGCCACGCATCGCCCGCCCCACGCCTGACACGCATGTGGTTACACGCCTGGGATCCGTTTAAACAACCGACGGGTACAGCTCATAAACGACGGATGAAGCTTGGTACGTCACTTCGCCAATGCCGAGGTCTGGCTGTGTTGGTTCGGTGCCCAGCGTCGCCCGCTCGTCACCGACCTTGGTGAGCGCGGCGTCGAAGTGGAAGGCGTTGCCGCGGCGGAGCGGGGCCGGCGACGAGCTGAGAGGTAGGCCCGTCTTCTGGCTGAACACGGCCGATGTGGCCGAGTCGAGCGAACGCCGAAACGCCGCCCTCGACGCCGGACTGGGCACCGCCTGGCCGGAAGGCGTACAGGTCAGCGGGGGCAGGGTCGGCGGGCACGGGTCAGGTCAGACGACAGTCGCCGCCCTCAACGCCGGGCTGGGCACCGCCTGGCCGGACGGCGTACAGGTCAGCGGGGGCAGGGTCGGCGGGCACGGGTCAGGTCAGACGACAGCCGCCGGAGGTCCGCGGGGGTGTGACTGCAGACCAGGTCGGAGGACAGTGGTGACGGACCGGAAGAGCCGGCCGGCCAGCCGGCGACGGCCGTGTCTGGAGAGGCCGGACGGCGACGGAGGGAGCTGAGATCGGCCGCGCAACGCGGTAGCTTCACCGGGTCTCCTCCGCGACCATGACAAGACGTTTGGACGCGGCAGGAGCCAGCTGGCTGAGATTGGTTGAGTTTGATAACAGCATAGCACTGAGGATCCGAGACGTTAAAGTACGGACGAACTCAACCAGGCACTTGACACACACCTGGTTTTAAGGGCAAACATGGTTGTTGTCTCCAGTTCAGTCATACTTCGCAAGCCAACCCACCACCTCAAGACCGAATTCAGTGGCACCAGTCCGCACCTCAATGACAAACTCCTGACTACGCCAAAGTACAAAATGCACCCAAGCCGCCTTAGCAGCACCTGTCACGATTTACGGTTCTCTTAAAACGCAGAAAACAATCTCGCGAAAGAACCAAACCCACACGTACCGTCTCCTTCGGCTGCTCCTCGACTGCATCCTGCGGCTCGTCCTTCTTGAAGAGGCGCTTGAGAAGATTGGGCGACTTAGGAGCCCGAGATCCCTTCTGGTTTAAAGCTGCACTACCGTTTGTCGTCGGACCACCGACGTCGTCCACCGGTCGCTCGGCCGTTCCGTTCGTCACGCCGCGGCCAGTCCCACCGGCGCCCCGCTCCCGGGCCACGCACGGGGCTCGCTTGCCCGTGTCTCTCGCGTCGCGCTCGCAGATGCCTTTTGCTGTCCGTTCGCACATGTCACTTGAGATCTTTTGGCACGTGCCGTTCGAGGCCCGCTCGCTCGTGCCGTTGGTAACCCGTTCGCCCGCACCACTCGCGACCTGCTGACAGGTGGCGCTGGTAGTCCTCTCCCGGCCGCGTTCGGCGTGGTCGCGCCGGTCGGCGACGGTGGCGCCGCGCGGCGGCGGCTCCTCGAAGCTGAGCGCGCGCCGCACCAGCCGCACCAGGCGCGGCCCGTCGGCCGGCCGCGCCGGCGAGCGCAGCAGCCGCGCCGCCTGCTGGTCGCCGCCCCATACGGGCGCCGCGCGCGCCACGAAGCGGCTGGTGCGCACGCGCTCGGTGCGGGCGTCTGCCTGGCCGGCCCGCTCGATGGCCGAGAGCAGCGGGTTGTCGGGCGGCGTTGGCTGGCGGGCGGAGGCGGCGGGCCGGCCGCCCGGCAGCGCAGAGTGTCTGAGGGGACGGCGCCGGTGTCAGTCGCACGACCGGCGGCGAAGACCAGGGGAGAGCAGGTCGCAGGCTTACTTATTATATACTATTTGATATGTTATATATATATTTTACTTGTTATATGTTTCATTATATACTATACTATTACTACTTGGTACTACTCGCATATGTAATGGACGGGCGTGCAGCACACGCATGGGCACTACTCAGGAAACTTCGACGACCATAAGCAAAGCCTCGGAACTGGTCAGCACTTGGAGAGGACAGCGAAACTGAAAAATGACGAACGACTGGCTCGATTGTCGCCAGCAACGGCAAACGACTTCATTCACAACCCCAACCATGAGCCGAACCCCACCACCGCTCCACACTTACGGGACAGCCGTCTGGCCGGCAGGACGGGGCGTGCGTTACCTGAGTACGGCGACCACCTGGAGCTTCTCCTCGGAGGTGAGCAGGAACAGGCCGGCGCCGTCGCTCCTGCTGCGCTGCGGGGTGCGCCTCCTGGGGCCGTTCGCCCCTCCCGCGCCTGCCGACAACGATTCCGGAGTCAGCAGAGCCGACCGCCCGGCCCGGTCAGCTGACTGCGGTCATCAGCACGCCCGGTGTTGTGACAGCTCTTCGCCATTGGCGGAACCGTCCAGGTTGCCCCGAGAGCGTTCTAATGATAACAATCCGAGCAATCGCAAGAATGTGGGAGAGACATCTGGATTATGGAGATATGATGCTGATATTGTTGTGTTTCTCCACACTACATTAAGTTCGCGATCACCCAGGGCCCTGCAGGGCGTCTGTCTGGCTGACCTGCGGCAGGTCGGCGCGTGGTGAGTCCAATGTCCGTCGCTGTCCCTCCGCCTGACTGTCCGCCTCTTCTTCCTGCCCACGCCACTCCTCCGTCCGCTGCCACTCCTCCATGGAGGGCGCGTCCTCGGCGGAGGTCGCGTTCTCCGAGGACGGCGCCCGCTCCTCGTCCCGCCGCTCGCCCGACCGGCGCCGCTCCTTGGGAGGCCGTGCGCTCCCGCCGCTCCAGCGAGGGCCAGCGCCCGGCCGCGGCGCCGGCTGGAGCGTGGCGCTCGGGGCTGGCGGCGTCTGCGTCCGAGCCGGCGCGGCTCCAGGTGGCGCATGCCTGCGTCCAGGCCAGCTCCGGGTCGGCGCACTGGTCCGTGATGACGCGCCGGCTCAGGCCGCGGCTCCGGTGCTCTGGCGGCAGGGCAGGGCCACCGTCACTCCCACGGTCTCGCCGACGGCGCGGGCTCGGCGCAGCGGCGCCACCGCCGTTCGGTGTCGAGTGCTGTCATCTCAGATCAGTGGCGGTGCATGGATCTCGGCCTCCGTGCACAGTGCATGGATCACCACCTACGTGCACGGTGCAGGGATCACCACCTACGTGCACGGTGCAGGGACCATCTCCTCCGTGCACGGTACATGGATCACCATCGCGCGGCTTGTTAGCAGTCACAGCCCCGTCCCGCTCACAACCTCCAATACGCAACCCAGTTCACGGTGCCGTTTACATAATCACGCCACACAAACAGCCCCACGCCATGTGTCTTTGAACTGTATCTCAAGTAAACAAGTATGGGTTTGGCTAGGAACTGAAGAGCAACCCAAAAACACACTCCCAGCACCGCCCCGACACTCCGCGCACAACAACCATCCCGACCCCGGACCTCGACCATCCCTACCCGGACTTCGACCATCCCGACCCCGGGACCTCGACCATCCCGTGACCCCGGACCTCGAACCAATCCCGACCCCGGACCCCTCGACGCAGGGACGCCATAGTCCGGAACACCGGCGGGTCCCGGGCGGGAGGGGCGGCCCGTGCTGCTGTGCTCCCCCAGAGGCGTCGGACCAGCGGGTCCGGGCGGAACACGGCGCGCGTGCTCCCCAGAGGCTTGTGACCAGGGGGTCCGGCGGGAACGGGCATGGCCTGGCGGTGTGCTCCCAGAGGCGTGACCAGGGTCCCGGCGGGAACGGCTGCGCGTGTCCCCAGAGGATGTGACCAGCGGGTCCGGCGGAACACGGTGGTGCTTCCCCAGAGGCGTGACCAGCGGGTCCGGCGGGAGGCACGGCGCGTGTGCTCCCCAGAGGCGTGACCAGCGGGTCCGCGGGAACAGGCGGCGCGTGCTCCCCAGAGGCGTGACCAGCGGGTCCGGCGGGAGGCCGGCGCGCGTGCTCCCCAGAGGCGTGACCAGCGGGTCCGGCGGGAGGACGGCGCGCGTGCTCCCCAGAGGCGTGACCAGCGGGTCCGGCGGGAGGCCGGCGCGTGTGCTCCCCAGAGGCGTGACCAGCGGGTCCGGCGGGAGGACGGCGCGCGTGCTCCCCAGCGGCGTGACGCCGGCGGCTGACCTCTGCGCTCGGCGCTGCTGTCCCGGCTGCCGAACATCAGGTGCTCGGGCGTCTCGAGGCTGGGCGAGCCGGACCGCGACGGGCTCTGGTAGCGCTTCGGGTACTTGTGCAAACTGCGCGGCGGGTCCAGCAGCGAGTCGCCGAGCAGGGAGTCGCGCGAGTCGGACAGGGCGCCCTGCAGCCGCGACTTGATGATGCTGCGCCGCAGGTCGTCCTCCGACCTGGACACAAGCCGCGTTATCACCGGGACAATCAAAAGTCCCCAGCACGAACCGAGCAAGACAAAGGTCACGGTGCCTGATTCTGGGCGCCCTTAACGGTACGGGGAGGTAGATATCAAACAGCCGAAAACAGCGCCAGGTTTCACGGGCGTGGCTCTTCCTCACAGCAACCAGGAGGCAAGCATAGTATCTGCTCCCAGCGCTGCCTTTAGATCACTCTTGAGTGTAGACATAAAGAAACAGATTCCACAGACGGGCATATACAGAGCAGGGTCACCCACGCTCTTTTCGGGCAGGGCCGCGCTCTTGTCACGGTAGGCATGACTGGAGATCACTATCCTCGCGCGACCCGACTGACCCACCAACCGTTACGCCAAACCGCATCATCCCGTCCCTCCCTCCCCACAGACAGCTTCGTCAATCACAGTCCGGACCCGTCGCCACCCATTTCAAGAGGCGGCCTGCGCACGGTGCGCTGGTGGGTTGGTGGACTGATGGGCTGGTGGGCGGTGGGCTGGTGTGCTGGTAGGCTGGTGGGTTGGGGGTTGGTGGGCTGGTGGGCGGTGGGCTGGTGGGCGGTGGGAAACTGCACCCATGCCGGTGGAGAGCCGCAGCGCCGTCACAGGACGTACCACTGGCTGGCGCCCTCCGGCCGGCCGGCGGGGCCTGATGGCCCGGCGGGCGGCGCGGCGCACGCGCCCGCCGGCTCCTCCTCGTCGCCGGCCGACAGGCGTCGCACGGGATGGTGGGCACGGCGTCGCAGCGGGGCCGAGCGCGCACGCTCACCTGACGGTGGAGAGGGCTCAGCGGTCAGTCAGCTCAGCTCAGGGCTCAGGGCTCAGCTGACGGTCAGCGGTCCTGCTCCGCCAGACTGAGACGACGCGCGGGGCCGGCCACACGGGCACGCAAACCTCGCGCAGATCAGGAACAATCGGGCGTCGGATGGACAGGCACTAACATGGTGTGTACTAAACGACATATTGCAAACAGTGAGAATCGA